AGATTTTTGTAATATGCTTTGTATATCCTTTTAAATTCTGTAAAATCTGTGGTAATGTCTCCTAGATCTTAATATTGTAATTTAAAAAATGTATAACTGATATTGTGTAATAGGAAGAAAAGGTCTAAAAGAGCAGGGGAATTGGGAGGGGTAAGGGAAGGGAAAAAAGGGAAAGGAAAAAATATGAGAAGAGCAAAAAAATGGATACAAGGTCTTTGCAAATAGGGAAGGGTGGAGGGGGTGAAGGTAGGCCAAGGGAAGGGGAAAAAATAAGAACCAAGAGACTCATGCAATGGTACAAGATCCCAATGATGAATGTAACTGTATTGTATACCTAAAATGTACCAATAAAGTTAATGGGGAAGAAAAAACACAAAAACTTGGAAACAGCCCAAATGCCCATCAACTGGAGACTAGATAAAGAAAATGTGGGTTGTTTTTTTTTATAAAATGGAGTACTACTCAGCCATCAAAAACAAGAAATTAGAGACATTTATAGCTAAATGGATGCACATTGAGGCCATACTCTTAAGTGAAATAAATAGAACACACGTGTAAATACTGAATAGTTTCTCTAGTGTGAGAAACTGAAAGTGTAAATGAAGACTAAAAGATATAATAGATAATATGAAATAGGAAGAAAAGGGGCAAAAGGGGAAGGGGAAGTGGGAGGGTTAGGGGAAAGGAAAGAAGGGAATGGAATTAATATGAGAAAATGAAAAAATGGGAACAAAGTCTTTGTAAATAGGAAAGGATGGAGGGGTTGAAGGGAGGGCAGGGGAATGGGAAAAAACAAGAACTGAGAGAGATTATGTAAAGGTGCAAATTTCCAATGATGAATGTCATTGTATTGTATATGTAAAATATACCAATAAAATTAAATTTTAAAAAATTACCAACCAGAAACTGGGCATGGTGGTGCACACCTGTAATCCTAGCACTTGGGAGGCTGAGGCAGGAGGATCACAATGAGTTTGAGGCCATACATAGTCATACCTTGTCTCAAAAAACAAACAAAAAATTACCAAGCAGAAATTTAGGAGACTTAAAAGTCTATTGAAAGTTTGGGGAGCAGAAGCAACCAGTGTAAGGACAGAGGGTCAGAACCAGAAGACAGAACTGTTGCTGGTGATCATTTAATAGGTACCTTAAAAACAGTAAGAGAACATGAAAAAAGGATCCAACAGCTGCTAGATAATGTAAAGAAGGCTAATCTAAGATTAATTTGAATTAGTGAAAAATCAAAAGATAGCACAAATAGTGTAAAAAGCCTGTTTACATAAGTAATAGCCAAAAGAGACCTAGAATAGCAAAAGCAAAAACACGAGCAAAATAAGAGGCATCACAATCCTAGATTTGAAGTTATATTACAAAGCTACAGTGATAGAAACAGTGTGATACTAGCATAAAAACAGACATAACACTCAATGGAACAGACTAGAAGAAGCAGAAACAAGCCCAGGCACATTCAACTAATTGATCTTTGACAAAGGGACCAAAAACTTACACTGGAGGGAAGAGAGTCTCCTTAATAAATGGTGCTGAGAAAATTGGTGTGGGAAATCCACATGCAGAAGATTGAATATAGACCCATATATCTCACTCTGTATTAAACTAAAATCAAAGTGGATCAAAGATCTAAATGTCAAAACACAAACACTTAATCTGCTGGAAGGTAATGCGGGTAAAACTCTTGAAAATATAGGAATAGGTAAGGATTTTCTGAACGGAACTCCAATGGTAGAAGAAATAGTACCAAGAATCAACAAATGAGATCATATCATATTTAAAACCTTCTGCACTGCAAAGGAAACAACCAACAGAGTGAAGAGACAACCTATAGAATGGGAAAAATTTTGCCAGCTATTCCTCAGACAGAGGACTAACATCTAGAATATATATAGAACTCAAAAAAATTAGGCTCCCAAAAATAAAAGATCCAGTCAAAAAATGGGTGACTGAAATGTATAGACCCTTCTCAGAAGAAGTATAAAGTGGCCAATAAAAACATGAAAAAGTGTTCAATATCACTGGCCATTGGAGAAACGCAAATTAAAACAATGCTGAGATTCCATCTTACTCCAGAAAGAATGGCCATCATCAAGAAATTATATAACAACAAATGCTAGTGAGGCTGCAGGGAAAAAGGAACACTTCTACATTGTTGGTGGGAATGTAAACTAGTACAACCACTATGGAAAATAGTATGGAGCTTCCTCAAAAAAACTAAAACTAGAGATTCCACTTGACCCAGTTATTCCCCTGCTAGGAATCTTGCAGAAAACTTAAAGACATATTATAGTAGCACAATTCATAATAGGTAAATCTTGGAAACAGTTTGTATTCCTATTAACAGATGAAAAGATAAAGAAAATTTGGTGTTTATACACAGTGAAGTACTATTCTGCTATAAAGAAGGACAATATTGGGTCATTTGTGGTACATGGATGCACCTGGAGACCAGAATATTAAGTGACATGAATTAGACACACAAGTTTAGTATCACATGGTTTCTCTTATATGAGAAACCCAAAAATATAAGTAAAGAACAAGATAAAAGATAAATAATAGGAACTATGGAGATATTTTTCAAATGGGAAGGGATGAAGAGATGGGAAGGGAGGGGAGTGAAATGGGATGAAAAAATAATTGAGATCCATTATGTACATGTAACCAACCCCCCACAATGAATGTAATCATTATGCACTGCAAATATGCACTAATAAAAACTTTCAAATAGAGACATTGCACTGAGTAAAAGAAGCCAACCATGAAGGGCTACATACTTTACAGTTCCATTTATTTAACATTCTTAAAAAGACCAGATTGCAGTGGAAGAAAATAGGTATGTGATGCCAGGTTATATGGGTCTGGGAGGGCGTGACAATGAAGGGACCGCACAGTGGGGATGGGGGCGAGAGGACCACGCTGTATTCTCTGGTCAGCATTCTACAAATCCATTGCATGTGTTAAAATTCATGGACCTGAACACCAAAAGAAAAAAGTCAATCTCATTGCATACTTTTTTAAATTTTATTTTTTTAACAGTTCTAAGTTTAAAATTGCGATTCACATTCTACAGATTCTCCTCCACCTATGATAGTCATGTCTCGATACAACTATTCTATGCTGATAGTATCATACACTAAAAGTGATTTAAATACACTTCATCTACCAAAATTAGCTTAGCAACACAGTGCACAGTAGGGTACTAGCTGTTTCCCCTTATGATCATGTGGCTGGCTAGGAGCTGTGGCTTGCTGCTGCTGCCCAGCCTCAAAAGAGAGGATAGCTTTGGAAAAGGTTAAAATTCAACATATGGTTTCTACTAAACATGAAATCTTTGCACTATCACGAGGTCAAAAATCATAAGTCAACCCATCACACATAAGTTGGGGATGGTCCTTTCTTTCTTTCTTTCTTCCTTCCTTCCTTCCTTCCTTCCTTTCTTTCTTTCTTTCTTTCTTTCTTTCTTATTTTTGGTACCAGGGATCAAATTCAGGAACCTTGCACTTGCAAAGCAGGCGGCAGAACCACTGAGCTAAATCCCTGGCCCCAGGGATGGTCCGTTCTTATTGGACAGTGCTGGTCTTGCTCCTCCATTACACTATATGTCTACTTGAGCCTGAGCAGAAGCTTCACGCGCGCGCACACACACACACACACACACACCTGTCTCTTCAGTTTCCATGTCTTGTGTAGCTGTCCATCTCCACCACTGGGCAATAAGCATGCTGTGGGCAGAAATGTGTTCTTGTGTCTCTCTGTGCCCAGTCCCTGGAACTCAGAAGATGTCTAGTAAAATCTGTTGAATCAATCAATCAATCAATGGTACACATTCTTGATTTGAGCCTTGGGGGAATTAAGGTCTAATATTAAAGATAATGCTTTGTGAATCTCTCCCCTCCTCTGACTCTCTCAAGGACCCAAGATTGTCCCAGGACCTCTAGGAGCTGCGACTGAGGATGAGAGTGGACTGGACCAGCCTTCAGCAAGGGGTCACTGAAGAAAAGGGGACTGGTGTCCAAGCTCAAGGCCAGGGCCTTAGGAAGGGAGTAATAATGAGCCCTGGCAAGTCAGAGAGAAGGCAAGACAGTTGCACAGTTTAGAAGGTTGAGTCTGAGAGCAAAACCTTCCAGCAGGGAAAAAGTCTTGTCATCAGCTAACATTACTAATTCTATAGTTTATTCTTCCTCAGAAGGTTGATTTACCAAAGCAAATAGGGGAAATATGATGCTCACTGTCATAGATACAAAGTGACCATGTTTTCAGCCTGGCGTATTTTCCAAGGCAAATGAAAATTGTTATAAAAACAATTTATACTCGGCAGACATGGATGATTGCCCGTGATGACCTTTTGCCAGAGAAAATGGATCTGATAAAGAAAAAATGTGAGCTCATTAGGACAGATTAGAAAAAGCAAATGATTGCTCTTAAATTATGGAAATTCCAAGACTGGTGAATCTCTCTGTCCTTTTAGGACATAAAAACAATAAAACACCAAAAGAAATTGTTTATTCAGAAAGAAGTTTGCAATTTGTGTGAGTACTTTAGAAGGGAGGTATTTTGTAAACTAAATGAAATTTAATGGACTTATTAACTGCTATGAATTCACCTTCTATAAATCTAGCAACAACTAAAAGAAGAGGGGGAAAAAAACAGAACGACACTTGAGTGTGGGAAAAATAAACCTTGCATTCTATAAATGCTACCTAATGAATATTTCCACCCATGCACTATGATAGAATTTGGGGCACAACATTAGTGCTTCCACTATAAAACGTGGGTGCCCAGAATTGCAGAGGAAAGATGAGAACAGTAGGTGTGAAAACATCACTTGGGAAAGTTTTAACATCGTCCTACTTCCCTGATAGTCACCCACAGGCACACAGTTTTATAATTTATAAATGCTTTCATATACCCCTATCCTCCATCCTCACAGAAGCCCTCGTATTTATATGTGGTGCCATGGTGTGGAGAGTGCATCGCCTATGGTTTCAATCGTTAACATTTAATACCCATTGTGAGGGATTAAGAGAGTGAAATGACCTGACCATGCTGTTTAGAAGTGAGGTCATTAGAATCAGAAAAGGTCACCAGGGTGGAGCCCCCATGATTGAATCATAGTGGCTTTATAAAAACAGGGAGAGAGACCAGGAGACACATATGTGCAAAAGCACTTCCTCTGACTCTCATGTGATGTCCTGAGCTGCCTCAGACTCCACCAGTAGGAAGGGCATCACCAGATAGGGCGCTTTGACCTTGGACCAGAACCATGAGCCAAAATAAACCTCTTTTCTTCATAACCCACCCAGGCTGTGGTATTATGCTATTGACAACAGAAAATGGACTAATACATATGTTTATTGCACAAGTGAAGCAACTGAGATTGGATAACAGTTATTTATCGGCTAGTGAAAGCTATAAGCAGGATGATAGTACAAGACTATTCCTCTTCACTCAAGCAATCTATTCCCCTTATTCTGTTTTAGGCACATTTTATAGGTCAAAACCAGAAGTTACTAGATTTACATATTTCTCTTTAGGGAAAAGCAGAAGGGCAAGGGAAGGAAAGAAGGATTCTTAAAACAGTGTTCAGCAAAAAGAAAGGATAAAGTCTCAGTGTTTAAATACATGAAAAGTCTATTTCTCCCTGGTAATAATGCTTCGTACAGGTCATGGGTGGGGCTCTGCTCCATGCAGGTGTTCAGGGACTCGAGTGCCTGCCACCTAGTTGCTTTTCCATCTTTTAGGGACTCAATGTCTTCCACTAATCACTGCAAGATAACAGGAAGCAAAGAGTAAGTGGAGGATCTCATGAGGCTCTAAGCCCAGAAGAGGCCATGTCAGCCAAAATTAGTCACCTTGCCCCATCTCCTTGCCAGGGAAATGAAGTGTCTAAGGGAAGGAGGAGAAAACATAGGTATTACTGGAGCAGTGGAAGTAGCAGTCTCCATTAAGTTCAAATTTTAGAAGCATTTCTTTGACTATGAAACACTTTCCCGGGTGCCCATGGAAAACTCTCTGTGAGCTCCCATCCAGGCCTTCACCCCTCTGGTGATTCCCCAAGTGGGACCACCTGGCTACACAGGGCCACCCAGACTTTTATCTTTTCAGATTGGAAAAAGTGGACCTTTCAGGCTTATACAGCAAAATCTCTCTATATATTTTCTTCCAACGTAGCTGAGTGAAAGGGCAAACAGAAATTTGAAAGCGATGATTGCTTCCTTTGTGGGGGAGAGGGATTCCCACTGAGTTGGGAACATATATGAATTCTGATTTGCAATCATTTCCACTATTTATGAGGTCACTGGACTTACTCCTGCTGAGTCCAATTTACAAAGAGCTTTGGTTGGATCAGGGAAAGGAATATTAGAATCTCGTTGGCTTGGTGATGGCCAGAGGACTATGCAAGGAATGTATCAATGAACTGCAAGGAAGCAAAATCCTCAACATCAGCTCTGACATGCTACAACCAAATGGGTAGGGAGATGCATCACTCCAGGGAAGCTATTGGTGCTGGGTGCACCAACTTGTGATTTGACTTCATGCCCCAAAAACAGATGGGTAAATTTTCCAAATAAAAAACTTGTTTAAAAAGATCCAAGATGTCTAAAATAAGCAAAAGAGTTTTTCTTACACCAGCATCATATTTCACTACCAAGGCAGCTGTAGGATACCGTCTGATCACTGGCATCTCTGGTTCTGGCCTCATTTTGGACTTCTACCCACAAAGAGCCAACAGTCCCCTAAATGTCCAACAGGTACATTTATTTCCATATATTCAAATCTGAACTCATCCTCCCCATTCCACACTCTGCCGGGCCCCATGCCTGTTCCACCTCCTATCCTCATCTCCATTAATGCTGCCACCACACCCCAGGCAACTGAGCCACTGATACACATCTTGCAACTCTGTTCATTCATCTTGTTTCTTTGTTTTTGGTTTGGGTTTTTTTTGGTACTAAGGATTGAATTCGGGACCTTGTGCTTGTGAGGTAGGTGGCGCCACCACTGAGCTAAATCCCAGCCCCTGTTTATTCTTCTTTGTCTTTGTTGGATGAAAGCAACTTCCTCTCAGCTAGGTTTCTGACAGTAAAAATGCCACTCCAGCCTACCTCCCCCACTGCCACCATAAGAAATCAGCCAGTGGCAGCACTTCTCTGCTTAAACCCTTCTATGGCTCCCTATTTCTTTCAGAGTATAATCCAAATTTCTTCCCGTTATAGGAAGACTCCCTCTCGGTTGGTCTCCTGAAGCCCTCTCGGGTGAGGTCTCCTGGTCATTGTACCCACACACCAATTCACCCTGTACATTCACAACACCTAATGACATACAGTTCTGCTGACTTTCTCCTGACTTTGTTACTTTCTATCATCTCTGCTTCAAGTGCCTCCCCAACTCCCCATCTGTCCTTTGTGTGGCTGACACCCACCTGCCCTACACTGCAATCAGCTGCTGTGGGAGTCCTGCTAGAAACTCCAGGCTGACAAAGAGACTGCTCTCTGAAGTCTCATCACCCTATGCCTACCTCTGATAGCACTGTGAAGGCTGTGCCTGGGTCCTCAGTGACCTACCTTCCCACAGTCCTCCCACACCCCACCCTGTGAGTGCCATAAAGCCAGAGATTAGGCTGTTGGATGTATCTAGTACCAGCATAATGTCCAACAGAGAGGGAGCAGGTGCTAGATGCTGAATAAACATATGAATTAGCAAAGCCATCACATGGAAGAGTAAAATCCTGTTTTAAGTGGCCTGGAATAGCACCACTCCACATGCAGACGAAGAAGCTTCCAGGCCACCATATCACTCCCCCCAGCACAGAAGAGATAAGCCTCACAGGCACCAGCAGCACTCCACCACCACCACTGAAATGAGAAGACACATAAACAATCCTCAAAATCAGACTTCCAGATCACCCACAGAAACCCCAAAGGGAAAAGAGATTGAACACTCTGATACTCAACCACCTGGACTCCCTGAACTGGCAACAAAAGAGAATCTGGAAAAAATGAAATCAGAAATAATTTCTCACGTAACAGCAGAGATTTTGCCCATAGTATAAGACATGATTAATAAATCTAGAGAGGGCACAGATAAAAAAAATAGAGGAGCTAAGGAACATGATGGAATCCCAACATAGGAAACAAATGGAATCCATAAAACAGATACAAACAGATTTCCAAGA